AATAAATTCTGATAATTTTGTTTATTCAATGTTTTTTTAATATTTAAATTTTAAAGTTACATGCACGTGTGGCCAGTAGAGTGTATTTGTATAATATTAGAATATAATGTTGAAGTGATTTGACGTCATGTTGATTTTAATTTATTTGTACACGTAAACATAATGTTCATAACAATGTATATCTAGATAGGTAGGTATATACACTGCTACCTACTGAAGTACCGAATCTATGTTTAAAATCAAAATTATGTAATATCGAATGATCATAATGCCATATTTTATAAATATATTATTTGTATCATCCGGATTAGAACAATTTATACTGACTACTACTTATTTTAGGTAAACCCGTGCCTATTATTTTTGTATTGAACTCGGCCATTATCTTATGTATACATGCTGTACATACTACGAGATATTATACAATAATATGAAATGAATACATTTTTTTATCCATATTTTTCGTACCGATAATATTGTAAAATATAGAAAACAAAAAATATAAACGAGCAGCCACCGTACAGTGTTTTGTTGACAAGAATCGAGTTTTGTAAACTGGAATTCACACCATTGACAGGAAAAAGTGTCGAGTTCGAGCGTGATACAATTTTATAATGGAAAAATGTTGATACGATAAAAAGCGAAAAAAAACTAGTGTCAAAATAAAGTAACTAATATTATTTACGATTGAACAGAAACCCACAACTATATATTGTTCGGATATAGGTCAATCGAAATTTCCATAATAATATATTTATTCACAAGTAATTTAGAGCTCCTCTGCTACCGTTGTGATAATAATTAACACAGTTTCTATGACGTATTTAAATCTAATATTTTATACACGTATGAAGTAGTGAAAACATCAGTCCTATACATAACGGTTTAATAAGTCTATAGTACAAATAATAATAATAATAATAATAATAGATACATTTAAATTAATTGTTTTTTTTATTACTACAATCATTGTCGTTAAAGCACTTTTTTTAAGTACGCGCTAAGGTTTTAATGTACGAGCAAACATGTTATAGAGGTTTTTTGCAATCGACGGAAATACTATAAACTCGAAAACACTTGGTTGACGGTTATCTGAGCGAAGGATTTCAAGTACAATGCAATGCAGTTCTTATGTTTTTTTAATACGCAAAAAACTCGATTCTTTAAAAGTACAATGTAGGTACATCTATACTGTTCGGTAAAAAAATAAATACTCGATGTTAAAACGCAATATGTATGAAAACAAAAAGACAATATACGCGTACACGAATAAATCGATATAATATAGTACATACAAACAAAAGCTGTAGAATCCGCTAAAGGCATTATATGTAATATTATAATATAATATATAATTTAATATTATTATTGTATATATTTAAAACCGATTCGTTTTGATAAAATCTTGTACTTAAACATGGGTATACCGAGAGTCGTTTTCCCTGTTTTGACGGGGATGAGAAAAAAAGTATTTACGAAAAACAAAAAAAAAGAAACGATCGAATGACACAATATAATGAAACGAGATGCCATCGCCACCACCACCGTTCGTTCGAGCCACTGATTGATATATATATATATATGATAAAATTATATAATACTATAATTTCCGTGCGGAACACAATCGACGGGGTGGAGAACGACTTAGGATATTACACCGCGACAAAGACCGGCGCTCCGTTACCACGGTAACTCTGGTTTTGACCTACTACGACACCACCATCGCCGCCACCACCACTACCACCAACCCCCTAATCCGGTACTCCTACAACAGCTGTTGTTGTTGTCGTCGGTTATATACATGTATAGTAACTACATACAAACTACGTGTGGCATGGTACAGAAGACGTTTTCTTTTGTTTCGTCGTGTGTGTGTATATATGTATATATACGCTCCCAATATAAAAGCAACGTCGTCACAGGGCATTACCCAATTATTAGCTAATATTCAGTGAGGGGTTGTGGTTTATAAACAAAAAAACGACGATGTAATACTATAGAATAATGCAGACTTAATATAATTAAATTAACGAAATACTCTAGAACTTAAGGCTAAAAAGTATAATTTTTAATTTATAGGATTTCTAAACGGAATTTTAAAATAATATACTAAACTCGACTAAAGTATATGATTAGTATACAGGATGATTTTTTAGGAATGCTCACTCCCGCTTTTCCCCTTAATATAGTATATTTATTCAAATCCTGATTTTTAGAATTTTTAAGTAGACTTAAAGACAATATTTTCAAATCTCTGATATTATTTTACTTCTTAAGGAGTATCCAGTTACGATACAAACTTTTATTTTTCAAATGAGAACCCTCCTTTGTTCCTGAAAATTATTTTGCAGATGATTTTTTTGAAATCTCAAAGTAGGTATTTAAATCAAAATTCTAATGAGTAGTTTCTGAGTTAATACAATGTTTATACTAAGGTCTAAGGATAATAATCCTTAAAAATGGTTGTATAGACTGTAAGAATAAAAACTATGTGTAATGTTAGATGAAGTATTTATTATAATTGGATCATTTTTACAAATTATTTATATTGATAAACTACATAACCCATCGCCATATCCTTATAACACTAAGTTACATAAAAACTACTAGCTTGAATTATGATTTAGATACCTTAACATTTTCAAACAAAATCTGCTTATTAATTTAAAATGAAAAAAGGAGGTTTCTATTTGAAAAACTGAAATTTGGATTGTACAGGATCATCCTCAAGTGGTACAAAAAATGTCAATGTACATCATCATGCTCTTCTATGCGTTTCCATGTCAATAACTTCCTTTTCTAATTTATATTTTTGACATGCCATTAAACTTTGGGTAAACAAATTCAAATTTTTATTTTTTTATCGAAATCTTGACAATCAAAAACCCTTTAGGGAAGATTTGGTATCGTACGCTAAAATCACTTTTTTCTCGTGGTGAGACATAGGTGTTTATTTAGGCGCGTATTGGAACAGAGGTCAACATACTGAGTAAGTTATGGTTTTGACTTACACTATATTTTGTGCTATATAATATGTGTATAAGCACACACAATATTATGTATGCGGTCACTGCAGGATATTACGCAACTGCCCACGCGCGATACGCGAGAATAGAACGTTTTCAGCTTTACGTTCATATATATAGGTATCCCACTATCCCCACAATTATAGTTCGTTTAGAAAACACGCTCTGTGTGCTCTGGCGATATCAGAACATTGTATTGTCATTATATTATGACCACAGCGTAGATTTAACCTTTTATGTGTTATAACGCGGACGCGTGCAATGTCTTAGAATTATGCGTACCCGTAAAACGACGAGAGTAGATGATAAAACCTTAGCTGAGATAAGCTGCCTTCAGAGTGAGGACAAAGTGTACGCGGAGTGACGGCGACGTCGGAGAGTTTAATACAGTCGATGGGTACATACAACAGCTGCAGGAGAGAACGAGGACATTTTGCAATGTAGATGTTAGGTAGTAAGTATACGATATTTAATGCGGGTGCATATTATATAGAACATATTATAGCAACACACCGCTAGACGGAGAGATACATCAGAAGGAAGTGAAAGCATTCCCCTCCCCCCCCCCCAATAATAACGGCAACACACTCACACACACATGTCTACATATACAAATAAATACAATACGTAAATACTATCGAATACCGGAATACATAATAATATGTAAAATGCACGTACATATTATAGTATAGATATATATTGGTGCACTACGGTGTATCAGCTTGCTTCCGGTCCGTTGGCCGAGTCGCCGTATCGCGAGCTTTAAATAACAACAAATAACAATAATAATAATAACAATAATATATGCGCGAGCACACACCACGCACGTACATTAATATTATTATTATCTTGTTTTGCATCACCCGAGTGAGAAATGGAAAAAATTACAATCGAAAAACTGTAGGCCCCGCACCGTTTCGCACGCGCGCGTATATATAACCGGTTGAAAAATGTTTTGGGGATTAAAAAAAAATTCACGAGTTCCACGATGTGCATATTATGTACATAATATATATTTATGTATATGTATATAATAATATATGCTTATTTTTCGTGACTTTCTAAACAAATGCCTACGGTTCGAGAGATTATTATAACGAATTATTATATACGCACGGCCACGAGATTTAAATACCTACCATCCATTAAATTATATATTATTATTACACACGCACAGAAGTGAGGCAGAACACTAAAAATATCGGACAATATGTATTTTTGTGCGTAAATAATATATACGTTGCACATGTGTGTGATGTGTGTAAAAACGATCGTTACAGCAATCGACAGTTTATCGACTTCGTAAAAAACATACTACTCTAAGGATGTAACTAACTATATTTTTTAAACAAAAAAACCATATGAATAAAATAAGCATTTTGAAAAATATTCCTAATGGATTTTTAAATTTCCATCGTCCAACTTTCATTTTCTCGGTTCGGATGGAAAGTATACACTTAAAATCAATATATAATGATATATACTATATAATACTATACAGTTAATTGATTTTAAGTAACTCGTGACTATATAAATACACGGGTCTATTGAAGTTATCGAGTGTTTAAAACGAACGAATGTAAATATTGTTTTGATGACCAAACCACACTAAAAACGATCATAAGTACTTAATACTTATGGCACTCTTAATATTGCATAATAAACGCTTAGATGACGTACGGATAGATGTACACAGTATTTATATGGTTTGGTCTTGAAAATAAAACCTTGATTTTATTTACAACTAATAAATAATATATAATACGATATTACGAGTAATAATTGCTATATAACGTTATAATGTTATTGCTGTCGTATTATTATACTACACACCGTTGCATCATGTACTAGATTCCTTCTCTCAGTTCACGTTTTAAACGCATATATATTATATACATCGCCTTTTTCGATATTATCCTCTCTCGTCCCAATCGTTATTCCCTTCAAGTCTCTAACTTACCACTAGTACTATACCTTTGATATAAGTTCGTCGTGATTTGCCAGGTGCGCTCTGCAGTGAATGCAAGAGTATGTCCTGTGGCAGTCCGGCAGATACGCCTGAAACGTCTTGACCATGATGCTCTAGTCAGCGGTACTCGGTTACGGGTTGAAACATGAAGTTCAAATGCATCCAGTGTAACTGAAATACAACAAAACAAAAATCACATTAATTATAACGTTCCTGTGCGAAAATAATTTTTTGCTTTAATGAGCTGCCATGTTCTGCGCAGTTCGTAAATAAAAAAATAACATGTTTATGTATGCTCAGTGTAAACAACCGAAGCAATATTATATTTGCGTCGTGTCGCTTAGGTTTAAAAAAAAAAAATATTATTCAATGTAAGTACTTGGCGGAACAATTTCGGACTAGCATTACGAGTCTAGTATCGATTTTAATAATATGTACGTACATTTAAATTTATTGCGCTACCCAAGGACAAACTGACTCTTACCCCCACAAGTAAACTCGATCAATTTTTCCGGACTTGCAAACTTGCTTCCGAAATGCGCATTAAGTGAGGGATAAATAAGACGATTCTGCTGCGTCAGATTGAAACGCGTACACAATTCAAATACGTTTAACTCAAAGCTTTTTGGTCCTATATAAACTTTTTAGTGTGTGAACTAAAAATAAACGGTCTGAAATCGGATTCAAATATACTATAGAAAGTTCAAGTACTATGCCTATTCTTTTTGTAAATATGCACTAGCTATATATGCATGCGCATATATAGTAATTTATTTAAAATATATGATATTATACGACGTACTTAAGTTGGCACAGTGAAGTTTTGCTGCAATTAGTGACTACATAGTGGACACTTATATTATATACCACGATAAATGCGTGTCATATATGCGAAAAATGCATGTGCAGTGTGCATAATAATATAATATAATTATGCAGCAGTACAGTTTTATGAGTCAAAGACAACGGTTTATGTTTGTGTTCATATAATTGAAATCAAATGCAGTGTTTACAAACATTTTCTATGGTTTTTTCTTTGAATATAAATTGATACTTAGTATTTACTATACAGGCGCATTAAACAGACATGAGCACTTGTCTTGCACGTGAGATGGACAATCTCGATAACATTCTTCGAGTCGAAAGATATTTAACATTCGAATTGTTGTACTCTACTCGTGATCAAAAAACAAAACGAACGTTGTAGAGATTTAAAGTGGATTATCTTATGCAGGTATTATAAAAGCCTGAGAACCAAAATAAACGGGATTAAATTACGTTTTCTGTAAACCATTCTGATAAAATTGTTGTTAGATACAAGCAATATTTTATTTTAAAAAGTGATTATTATGTCGGACGGGTCACTATTCACTAATAAAATTTGAATAAAGGAAACGTTAATAATCAGTAAATCAGTCTATATTATAACTATCATTTGCATTTATATAATTGTTTATGTAATATACGTATTATAATATCTTCAATTATACATTTATTCTTCTAACTTAACAAAGATTAGATATTTATTATGATCTAAAAATAAGTAAGTTATAGCAATCAGTAATCAGTAGAAATTATAGAAACAAAGTTACAAAAAAACTAAAACTTAAAAAATTAATTTGATTAGTTGTAGTTTGAAATCCAGAGGACAGTATAATAATAATTTTGCTCTTGAAAATAAATTAATGGACCAATTGCATGAAATAATTCTAGAAAAATTAATTGATTTAATTAATAATTAATATATTATCTGCAATAATAACATGCATTAATATTTGAACCAGAAATGTTACCTAGATTTGTTTTCTCTTATAAATAATGATGCAACGATAAATAAATTGAATAAAATAATAAAACTAGGTCAGAATTATAATATTAAAAACTAAATCTAAACAAGTTTTTTTTATTCTTCGAGTTTCAGCTGTTTTTTTTACATAACATCCGAAAGAAGACTTACGTTACATTATTATTTGATATTTTTATTTTGAATTCAGTTTCCGTACCACATTTTACCCAGCTTATATACTCTTTATACTATAGTTCCTAATAGTATACAACGTGTGCCCAGACGTATATATTGTACCAAAATCCTCTCCATTAATATACAAAGAAAACAATTTTTTCGCCTGAAGACTATAAAACGAGGGGTAAAATCTGACACGAGATAGGAATTTTTAATAGAAATATAAGCCCATAAAACGGTGGGATGAACTTACAAATTACGGAATAAGGAGTTTCGATAAATGCGAAATTTATACTGCGCATATAAGGCTTAAACATGATAGGTCGATTGAGTTCGAACTCTTAAAAATCCACGCACGGTTATTAAAACGACAATTTTCAATGAATATAATATGGCTGCTTCCGGCTTCAATATTTTAGTTCTATAATCACGTGCAAAACGTTTATGCGGATTTTTTTTAATGTACTTTTATAAGCTCATCTTATATCTTTTACCGGTTCTTTGGAACTTAATATTCCTATGCCATTATATATTTACTGTACATCCGCGTACCACTCCAGTAGTTTCGGAAACGTTTCTTTTGAAGTCTCCCGTGGGAGACTGTCTACTGTGCAGTGTAGTACGGCCATCAGCTTATAAGGTTCTAAACTGACCATGCCAAGAAATAAGAGTGGACTGTGAGTGGTGATCTGCAGCCACTTTTCATATAGGTACCACGCACTAAATATATTATAAAGTAATTTATAGCATGTGCAGGCCTTTTTTTCGGCCAGGTAAAACGTCACCTGAACGTTATTTTAAGTGTTTAAGTTTAACATTTTGGCAGAAAAATATACGCAAATGTTATGAAAAATAATATGTTATCTAAATTAAAAACACATGCCATAAACATTGTTATATAATATAAAACCTTAAACTAGTTAACAGTATATAGTGTTGTTTATCGATTATACTTCCGGAAGGAATTATTAGGCCCTGCATTCAGCTGCAGTATAGGTAGACCTATCACCCCTTGTGCACGCAAATGATTTATAGTCGCATTGTATTTTCAACGTATCTGTACCGATCGATTAGGTTATTCGATGAATAAACAATACTACATTAAATCAGGTATGTCCTACAGTGTACATACAATTGTAGGAAATTTCGATGTCACAGACTGACATCTCGTCGTCGATTTAGAAGTAATGCAGGTATCCGCTACCATATAGCTAATGATGATGAGACTTTGTACACATATAGGTGTGGGGTGCCACTCGAGTGACGAGTTGTCAAAAAATTGTGTTTAAACGAATGTAAGATAATACGCTCGCCTACGACTCCGGTCACGAAAACCACGATAACAGTCGCGAGTGCGCATTGTTCTTCGATAATAATATCACAGAGTATACCAAATATGATATAAGACTATTATATACCTATACACATAAGACGGCTGTAAAATATAAGACGGTAGCGTTTTACGCGTCGATTACTGAATACTGTTTATATTATTGTATTATACACAATATAATAGATATATACGGATACCTACTAATATATATACCTTATACGCGGTAGCAGTGTACTGTAACGGGTGCATATAATATGTCATTAACATTATATTGGCTTCTGAAGCTAAACAATACTCGATCGCACGCGCGGAACTTACAATGAGTAAAAATCGTGTACGATTTTGATTGAATACAATTTTCGTTTTCCAGATAGAACCGACGACGACGGGACAAAGCACGCGGGATATTAGTATATTACACGACAAAACGCATCATTGATGTTTAACAAGACGTTTCACCTCGGTATACACTTCCTACGCCATGGAGGAGATAAAGATGATAATGATGATAAAAAAATGTAAGACACGATGCCCATCGTTACAATACCTACACATAGGTATTATTTTGATAATATTAATAGTATAATACGTTGTACGGTACGATTTCTCGTTGAAAAACACAGTCGGGCCACCTGGCTCCGTGCCCGCAGAGTCCGCGACGTTTCTTTGTTTCAGAGGCGGCGTCACGTAATATACGTAGGTATAACAATAAAATAATAATATCTAAATATCGTACGCAGGTCGCAAGTATATCTTTTCGGTATTGTGCTCGGGTTGGCCGTTGCATACATCATATATTATACTCACACCGGTCCAGACTTCCAGAGAACGCGGCGTCGTCGGTAGTACTTTTATAATTAAATTCATTATTTGTTTGTTTACAGAGACAATATGATAATAATATCACGATACGGCGAAACCTCGAGGGTAACCGGAATCGGTCGGGGACGAGAAAAATTCGTGTTATCGAAAATTCGAGAAGTAGAAAACATTGTAACATGGACAAATTGAAATTCAGGATCCCAAATATTTCTTCGAATTGTCGAAAATTCCATTTACACAGACGTTCCAGTCATTGAGGTTCCACGAGGTTTCGTTTATAATATAGTTATTACGAATAAAGTTAACATAAAATCAAAATACGAAATTCGAGGAAATCAATAATTTCGATACCTGTAACGTGCAAAAGTATATTAATAAGACGTGTAATGTCAGTTTATAAATCTGCAGATTGCTTGAGAAACGCTGATCGTATAATGTCGATTAGTTCGTCGTTCAAGGCTGTTGTTGGACCGTTGCGGGTTACCGTGGTATAATATTATAGATCTGTGACGAGTTTCTCGGTTGTGCTATTTCATAACAGAAAACGATTCGTTTGGCGATATTAATCTATTTAGACTTCGCGTGCCAGTCGCTGGTCCTCGGAGATTAAGTGTACGAAAACGGACAAGTGTGCTTGTATACAACTCTCGAAGATTATCTGCGAGCGGATGTCTGTTTGACGCTGTAGTGCTGTACTATTCCATCTTATGGGCCGTTCTGCAGTTCTTTTTTTAGTCCACTTGTGTATGATCTCTATATTTGTTTCTGGAGTATTATTATTCCAAAACCTCTGCCAAAATATCTCGACTTCCACCTTATAAATGTTTTATCGTATCGCGTGTGTTGACGACGTTCTGGCATACGCGTATCGACTCGGTTATCTCGCCTGCTGCACATTTGTGTATTTAATATTATTATCTGTTTGAATTTGATATTTTTTCGCCGGAATTTCGCTCTTACAGCTTTGGACGACAACCATCATACGAAATAAGATTTTCGACTGATTTATATAATATACTTTAATATTATTTAAAACTGTTTTCCACGGCGGTC